ACTTTTTATTTTACAGGTGCACTTTTATTGTTCTTTCTTGCGTTTGGAGTGGTAGGTCAGGCACTCACACCAACAACAGTACTGACAGCAATTGATCAAGCAAGGTTAAAAGCGGTTTTTGAAAATACTCAGCCATTCACTGATATTGCAAGTGCCCATTATTCCATCCTTGGATTAAAGTTGTTGGGAGGTGGTGTTCCCAAAGCACCGGTGAGTATATTAAGTCATCAATTACATTATGCAAAGAAAATAAAACAACTTAGTGGTTGTGAATCAACACAAATCCTTATGGTTATTTCAGACCCGTAAATTATGCCTGAAGTTTGTTCGTTTTGAACCCTATACATTGCAAGTAGCCTGATGAGGTCGCGCGAGTTGTGTCCTCCGCGGTGCTCTAAACCCAACACACGCCTGACAGAACGATGTAGTTTTTCGCTTCCCCTGACAATTTGTTGACGGTACCAATCAAATTGCAAGAACCTCAGATAGTGACGGCCATCAAAAAAGAACCATTCACGGTGTCAGCATCCTTTATTAGCTCCGCTGTCGACTTTGTCGAGCGGAGCTTATCATATGAGTGATTGTCCGTCGTCGTCGTCGTCCGTGTCAATGTTTTACTTTTTCGACTTCTTCTTGAAAACTACAAGCCTGAATGCTTTGATACTTGGTGTATATGTACCTTGGGTAGACCTCTCTCAGATTTGTTCATTTCATGATATCTTCAATTCTCTAATTTTGGTGAATATTTTTGTCATTTTTAGTAAAAAGTGATATTTTCGACTTCTTGTTGAAAACCGCAAGTGCAATTGCTTTGATATTACATATATAGGTACTACATGTGGACCTCTCTCAGATTTGTTCATTTTGTAATGATATCTTTAATTCTCTAATTTTGGTGAATATTTTTGTAATTTTTGGTAAAAAGTAATATTTTCGACTTCTTGTTGAAAACCGCAAGATGTAGTTTTTCGCTTCCCCTGACAATTTGTTGACGGTACCAATCAAATTGCAGGAACCTCAGATAGTGACGGCCATCAAAAAATAACCATTCACGGTGTCAGCATCCTTTATT